AAGGATATTCTGAGAGGCTCCTCGGAGTCCTAGGATACCAGAACTCACCGCACACACACGCAGACACACACACAAACACCACATACCCTCACACCACACACATGCACACACTCACACCACACATGCACACTCCACACACACATGCACACACTCACACCACACATGCACACTCCACACACACATGCACGCACCACACACTTACACTCCCACACGCCACACACACCACACACACCACACACACACAAACACTACACACACCACATACCACACACACATAAAAACTATACACACACCACATACCACACACACAAACACCACACCCCTCCACACACAAACACACATCAGGCACACACACACACACACATACACACACAAATATTTAACTACTAAAGAAAAGAAAAAATGTTTATAACAACAAACTCACTGCCAAATCTGGAAGACTACATGTGTTGTAAGCTGCTCACAATCCTTCCCACAACACAAAGGAGGGAAGAGCTGCAGCGGCTGCTCCTGGACACAGCACTGCTCGTCCCGAAACCCACGCCTACTTGTTGGGCCCGAGGCATCCGGAACCACAGCTTCTGTTTCTGTTTTGCCACTTTTGACAGTTGGCACGCTCATTTGTTCCATTTTCCAAGTTGCAGCTAACATTCCGTCTTAATTCCTCACACAGCAGTCGTGTTCCAATTTCTGTAGTTCTGTACTTCATTTAAGGAGCCCTGGCTGTGTGTAAGTTTGGCAGTGGATTGCTAACCACGAGGTTGGTTATTCAAACCCACCAGCAGCTCTTTGCAAGAAAGAGGAGGCTGGTAAAGATGGAGTCTCAGAAACCCCCCATAGGGTCACTCGAGCATCAGGTTATTTTCAGTTGCCTCATATGCGCATGAAAGTTGGACCCTGGATAAGGCAGACTGAGGAAGAATCCATGCATGTGAATTATAGTGAAGGAGAATAATACTGAAAGTACCATGGGCTTCCGGAAGAACAAACACATTTGTCTTGGAATATAAATAGCCAGAATGCTCCGTAGAGGCAAGGTGGGCAAGACTTCATTCATCTCACGTACTTTAGACATGTTGTCAGGAGGGACCAGTTCCTGCAGAAGGACATCATGCTTGGTAAAATAGAGAGGCAGCGATTAAGAGGACGGTCCTAACACAATGGCTGCACCATTGGGCTGAAACGTAAGAACAATCGTGAGGATGGTGTGGGACTGGGCAGTGTTTCGTGCTGTTGTACATGGGGTGGCTAGGAGGAAGAACAGACTTGGTGGCACCTAACAACAATGAAATAAAAGCGAGCCCAGGTGGCATCGGAGGTTAAACATTGGGTTGCTAAGTTGAGGACCAGCGGTTCAAACCACCGACGGCCGAAAGGTCCGTGGGAGGAAGAGGAGGCTGTCTGTTCCTATAAAGATGTGCAGCCCTGGAAACCTGAGGGAGAGCATTTCCACTCGGCCGTATGGGCGGCGATGAGTCACAACTGAGGTGGTGATGGCAGTGGGTTTGGCTTGACTCTGTGTCAGCACTGGGTTCGGTTCTTGGGTCTTGCATTCCCTACGAGGAGGAGGGGGCGATTGCTGACCCGTGTGTCTCCGGGAAGGACTCTGCTCCACGGGGTTTTCTTTCGATGGCTGTGATCTTTCAGAAAGTGTCTCTGGACGCTTCTGGGGGGTTTCGAGCTTCGCATCTTTCAGGCAGGAGCCAAGGACTTAACGATCTGAATAAGGACCTTGTTTTACAGAACGACAACATGATTCCAAAACTATACCATGTATGAAAAGGATTTCCCATGGAATGATATGCAACCTTCATGCGTTATCCCAGTAACATCCTTGCCAGTGGCTCTTTCTCAATTCCTGGCAGCTGGGGTGTGTGCCTCGCAGCCCTGGCCTCTTCTGTCACTGGTGCTTTCTGTGGGGTACCGCCGAAGCTCTTTAGCACAGTGTCCCACCTTCTGAGCTTGCCGGATTCTTGCCTCAGGATTGGATGCAGATTAGCATCTAGCGGGAATCCCTACACAGGAAATCCAAAACGTATTTGTGTGCACTCAACAAAGGGATCAGTTAGCCTCTGTTCTGTATACCAGCACACACGCTCCTACCATAGAGATTTTAGGAGATATTATCCCATTTCCCACCTAACCCTGAAAGAAGATTACCCCCCAAACAACAACAAATTCATGGCCAGAGAGTCCATTCCAACTCATAAGAGCCTTACAGGGGACAGCGTGGAACTGCCCCCATGGGGTTTCCAAGGCTGTCATTACAAAAACAGACCGTGGCTTTCTCTCTAGGGGCAGCTGGTAGGTTTCACTCACTGGCCTTTCAATGAAAAGTCATTGCACTTTGAGATCTCCTTTGAGAGAAGAGAGGACAATGATTACTATCTCCTATTTGCAGGAGATCAGAAGTGCAGTAAATATAAATGAAACTACCATCTCAGTCCAAGGCCACCACCGTCAGTACCTTTAGCTGATACAAAATGAATGCCTTCTGAAGGTCAGTGCTAATTTTGGTGCGTAGCTGGTGCCTGAACACTAACCATTTCTGGTCATGTTGGGTCTACAGTTGCAAAAGGGCCCATTTATTCTCCTTCTTTCTTTCTTTTCTTATGGTAAAAAATATATACAACATGTGCCAATTTAAGATTTTTCAGGTGTGCAATTTAGTGACATTAGGACCGATTTCTTGAAGGTGTTGCTTCTATTTCCTCAAGTTTACTTTAAGACTAGAAATGGAATCAACCCTTCTATTACATCCCTGCTCAGAAAGCAGGCTTGGAGTTAAGAGGAAACTAGTGAGAGTCTGGTGTTAAGAAAAGGTGGGATTTGAGTCCTTTCTGTGCTAGGTGCAAACGTAGCTGATATCCCCGTCGGGGTATCTGTCCTTCAAGGTAATTGCACACGGGGGGAAAAGGAAAGCACTTCTTGGGAGTTGGATGCCAACTAATAAATATAGAAGGAATGCTCGAGTTGGAAAATCCCCAGTTTGAATTACAACTGTCACAAGTAGTTCAGATAAGAAGTATGCATGGGTATGAAAGTCAAGAAGAGGGCAGATGCAATTTCCCCTTGTTCTGAACATTGAAGAGAAGTATGTTGGCAGACATGAGCAAGACGAAGACCTGTGTGTCCTTCTCCAGTAGCTAAAACTAACTGAAACTCGGTGACTCTGTTCATTTCTATCAGCCACCAGGCTGTGTCCAAGGACAAACCACTTCTTTGAAATTCACAGAGCTGTGTAGTCTTTGAACTCAATAGAATACACTTACTTACAACATCTAGAAGTCAATTCATGAATGCGCTTGGGTTTCTTTTAAATTTTGAGTTCTTCAAATTACACTTTGAAATTTTCTTTACATCCCCCTAAATACCAACTACCAAGAACTTGGCACAATGAAATAAAAAAATGATTAATAGTGTCCCTCCACCACCAAAATGTGGCCAGCTGATCTTGAAAAACATAATTGCAAACTTAGTCTTATCTTAGTATTCCTATGTTATCAAATAACCGTCAGTCTACCAACATTCCACCTGCGTTCAATGCAGCTGTAAAAAATAACATTGGGTGGTTGCATAAGAAATTCAAAGCTCTTACAACCTGACAGTGGTAAGATCTTATCCTCGTGAAAAAGGCCTAGAAAATAAAGAAGTAAAAATTAAAAACCCATATTTGAATTTCATTTTATGGGCCAGCTATGGAATGATTTCTATGATCTCTGTTCCATTTAAAGTGTATGTTGCCGTTGTTGTTGTCAAGTGTTGTGACTTATAGTGCCATGGTAGCCCTGTATATGATCAAATGAGACACTCCCCAGTCTTGTGCCATCTTCACAATTGTTCTCAGGTTTGAGACCATTATTCAAGCCACCATGTCATTCTTTCTCATGTAGGGGACTGGTCTCTCCTGCTAACACGTGCAAAGTGTGTGAGATGATGTCTCACCATCCTCAATTCTAAGGAACACTTGGGTGTGGTTTTGGTGAATTCTGCTCCTGGCACCTGTTCATTTTCAGCTCACCAGTCCCCTTTAAGCTGCTTATTTCTTTGTCCCCCTGTTCCCTTTAGCACAACTTGTCACCCTCTCCCCCCACACCTGAATCAATATTAGGCTACACACAAATACAGCTAGATTGCAAATGATAAGAATGTTCCTTTGAAACCAATGCTCATCATAAGTGAACATGGGGACGACATCTATCATACAGAACTCTTCATCTGTTAGTGGTCTTTGATATAATGTGTTCATCAGATACTTTCTTTACTACAACCTGCTGGTACATATTTGAATTTGTGCATAGACTCAAAGTAGATTCATTTTAGATGATAAGAAACATATTCCACTGCCATCCAGTGGAATGTGTTTCAGACTCATAGTGACCTGCTAGGACAGAGTAGAACTGCTCCTTAGGGTTCCAGACATAGGGTTCCAGAACTGCTCCTTTTAGTAGAGCAGACAGCTTCATCTGTCTTCTGCAGAGCAGCAGGGAAGCTTGAACCACTGACCATGGGACTCACATCCCAATGCTTAACTCGCGTTGCCACCACCCACTACTATCAAGCCAATTTCAACTTGTAGCAACCCTCTAGGACAGAGTACAACTGCCCTTTGGGTTTCCAAGACTGTACATCTTGATGGGAAAAGAGAGCCTCATCTTTCTTCCAAGCAGTAGCTCGTAGGTTCAAACTGCTGGTACTGTGGTTAGCAGCCCAGGATAACTCACTAGGCCCCCCGGGCTCTTAACATAAAAAACTAATTTCCAGAAAACTTGAAAGTATTCAATTCCCACTCGAATGGAAAATGTAGTTACTTCATCAATAAAAGGCAGGCTCTCTAAATGAAGCCGCAGTTGCATCTGCAGAATTACCTTAGGAGGTTCTTATTTAAAGCTATTCTTTTACCTTGGCACTTCAGCCCGTAACGGGAAACATTGCTTAATGGATCAGCGAGACAGTCTTTTCACCCATGTGAACAAACCTTTGATCTTCAGTGTACATACCAACTGTGTGGATGGGTTTCCGGTAGGGCATGAAGCCCAAAGTGTACTGAAAAATCCCTCTGGCGTAAAACAGGGGCAGAATGCCGCCCACAAACTTCTGCAACTTCTGCTGGAAAATCCAAATCCAGGTGCGGTCACGGGCGCCGATTTGGTCAAACAGTTCATTTTCACCAAAAGAAAACACTGGGACCAAATGGGCCCTGCAAACACATAGGGGGAAGAACAGGAATTTCAGGTGAGAAACAACTTCCTATTTCAGTCTGTCCCACTGACAGTTGAACTAAAACCCAGTTGCCATCCGGCCCAGCCTAGTTCACTCTATCTAGTGCTCTATCGGATTAACAACGGCTGCTGTTCCAGAAGTGGATCACCAAGCCTTTCTTCTGTGGCACCTCTCCGTGGACTGAAGACGCCTCCAGTCTTTTTGCTTAGCAACCAGGCATGCTGTTTGTACCACCCTGTACCCCTCGGGGACTCCAAGTCTCTTTGTAATGCTACCTTGACATGGACCTCGCCTCATGCTTGAAATCCTTGGGCAGGTACTAAGGAGCCCTGGGGGCCTAGTGGGTTACGTATTGGGCTGCTAACAGCAAGGTCAGCAGTTTGAATCCACCAGCCTCTCTGAGGGAGAAAGGCCAGCCTTTGTGCTCCCATGAAAGAGTGGCTGTTCGAGTCATGATGAGCTGGAGCCGACTCGATGGCAGTGAGTTTTTGTTTTCAGCAGTCTAACCATTTGCAGAATTGCATTCTATACAAAATCAAGGTTCCCGGAAGTTTCTCTTCACCTATAGCTCTAGCCAGGTGTTTGTTTGCCTAGAAGCTGACACTGTAAAGATAAAATGTTGTAGTATTTTTTCTTTTCCTTTTTAAATTTTATTCTTTTTAAAATTTTAATACATCGTTTTATTGGGGGCTTTTATGGCTCTGATAACAATCCATACATCAGTTTTCTTTTTCTTTTTAAGGATAAATTTAATGCCATAGCATCAAGGTGCTTTAGTGGGAAGGTCATATCCCCTTCCCATACACACTGTCGATATTTTACAATTGATTTAGAGGAAGTCAGCCTTTAAGCAAATTTTAAAAAGACTGAAACAGCCTACTGCTCTAAGTCAATTCTGACTCACAGTGACCCTCTCCCACTGTCACTGAGTTAATGCTGACCCACAGGAATCCCCCAATCGCCACCCCACCCCACCCCCGTGGGTTCCAGAGACTGTAACTGTTTCTCCCAAGGAGCTGCTGGTGGTTTCGAACTGCCAGTCAGGAGGATCCCAGCCCAATGTGTAACCACTACGCCACCACTACTCCTATCTCAGTGAGCCTATAAACAAACAAAAAACTCTGCTGCTCTCCATTCAATTCTGACTCATAGCAACCCCTATAGGACAGGGAAGAACCATCCCTGTCTTTCTCCCAGCTCTCCTTTTGGGCGGGGTAAAATTGCTCTATCACATTTCTGAGGTTTTAAATCTTTACTAAGCTGACCTTTGGGCTAGCAGCCCAGTGCTTAAACCACTGCACCACCAGGACTAGAGGAATGCCTTAGCTCTTTGAGTCTGTTTAGTAATGGCATAGCTCCCCCGACTCAGACGATGAAATGAAAAGCCACTTACCCATGGGTCAAAGCCAGTTTAACAAATCCTTTCCGCTGGCGGATGTACAGGGTGAAACTTCCGGGATATGCGTACAACAACTCCGGAGCGCCCCCTACGACGACGACGGAAATGTTCCCGCCTCCCTTTCTGCTCAGCCTGGAGGAGATGCTCTTCTTGGAGACTGAGACCAGGCCTTCATGAGGAAAACAGAAACCGTCTGTCATAATGATCTAGTGCAGTGCTTCTCAACCTTCCTCATGCCACGACCCTTTCATACAGTTCCTCGTGGGGTGGTGACCCCCCAACCATAACATTATTTTATTGCTACCTGATAACTGTATTTTTGCTACTGTTATGAATTGGGCAACCCGTGAAAGGGTCGTTCGACCTCCAAAGGGGTCGGACCCACAGGTTGAGAACTGCTGTTCTAGAGGATCCGCAAACATTTATGATTTTTTGCCCTGCTTACGTTTGTGGCATGTACGAAGCTTGTAACCTTGGCAGAGCCACATCTTTCCCAGCCGTGAGACCTAACAGGAATTAGGTCTTTGAACTACGAAGTAGCACCTTCTAAAGGTTTGGAGTCTGTCCATGGCGTGTTGGGGCATGTTGTGCTCTGGTCAGCTCCACGGGACACCATTCCTATTAAATCCCAAGTACAAAGTGTCCCCTGGAGTTGCCTGCAGTGTGTAACTACATAGTCACAGTGGTGCCCTTGATCCTTACCCTGGTGGGTCTTTGCCCAGGAGTGAAAAGTATATATATCCTTCAAGAGGTAGCAGGAACTTCCGAAACACAATATGGCCTGTTTTCAGATATTCTATATGGATTCCTAGTTTCCATGCCTGAGTTTGTCATACAAGTGCTTCAGTTATTCAGCCATTTGACAAACTGTGGTCAACAGGTTGCTGGCCAGCTCTCCTTGCAATTCTGAAAAAAATGTCTAATCTGATTTTGGCCAGTGGTTCATTTAAGACAGTTGCATATTTGCTCAATCTTCATATTAGGACTTTTCAAGTAAAAATACCTTAAAGATTTCTTTGTTGCTAAATACGTGGACACTTGGTGGAGAGTGCAAAAAATGCAGATGAAAATACAAATCGCTAATGGCCTACATTTCAGAGATAATTGCTTTTCAACATCTTCTTGTGTTTTCTTCTATGCTTGAGTTTATCCTTTTTCCCCCGTCATAACTGAATGTGTTACAGACGTAACACACCTCCTATCTTAGAGAAAATTAAATGTTAACTTTTTGCGGGTTTCTCGGCCATGGCGGGTTTGAACCTGCATTGGCTTCCAGGCACGGCCACTCTCTCTCTCCGTGGGAGCTGAATATGCTGGCAGCAGCTCCTCCACAAGACAAAGTGTCTCCGGAGGTTTCTGGCCATCTGGTCCTCCTTACTTGCCTCCTACCTCATTGGTCCCCTTTTCTCAGTTTCCTCTTCAGCCACTCCTTCTTCAAACCCACTGATGAGTCACCACCGTGCAGGACAGAGTACAACTGCTTGCTAGGGTTTCTGAAGCTGTTAAATCTTTACCGAAGCAGACTGCCTCATCTTTCTCCCATGAAGCACCGGTGTGTTTAAATTACTGATCTTTCACATGGCAGTTCAACATGTAATCTATTGCATCATAATGATCCTCTCTTTCTTCAGGTCACCCTTAAAACTGCTATTGCTCGGCACTGCTCCATTGTAGCTCTTGTCTTCTCAACCCATCCATGCACATAGACTCAACCACCACCTGTGTGTACTGAGTTCACCTAAATCCACTTGCTGGGAGACTTTCCTCCTGAGGCTGCAGGCCCAACTCCCCAACTGCCCAATGGAGCTCACTACCTGGATGTCTCAAATTCAACTCAAAGGTCATGCTTCCAAACTCAAGTTCCTACATTCTCAATCAAGTTTTACCATCTTCCAACTACTATCCAGGTGACTGGGTCATCATTTACTCTGTCATTGAAGTCAGAAACATGAGCTCTTCGCAGATTCATTCCTCTCTCTTAGCCACCATCCTGGCTGACTCACTCACTCACTCACTCACTCACTCACTCACTCACTCACTCACTCATTCTTTCACTCAAAAGCATTTCTTGACCATAAGCTACAGACAAGATGCTGTGTTGGATGCTGAAAGTACAATAAGAAGAAGCCACTATTGCTGCCTCCATGAGTCTCCATCAATCACTAAATCCGACTCATCTCTCAATATTTCTCCATCTTGATCCCCTCTTCTATGTTTCAATTGTGACAGCACTGGGTTCCTTGAACCCCCATCATCTCTCCTGTGGTTATGGCAATGAGCCTTTTGTATCACTGCAGACTCAGAAGCCATCCCTCCAACCTGTCTCCACCTGGCAACTGAACTGATCCGACAGGCTCCTCCTTTGTTGAAAATGTCTCAGTCTGTCTAAATAAGTAGGCTGGATAAACAATCTGGAGGAGAAAACAAAGGGACCGACACTTCTGGGGGGACATGGGAGAGGGGGAGGTGGGGGGAAAGGTAGTAGTG